TTCCTTCCTTCCTTCCTTCCTTCCTTCCTTCCTTCCTTCCTTCCTTCTTTCTTTCTTTCTTTCTTTCTTTCTTTCTTTCTTTCTTTCTTTCTAATGTGGATTCTGGGGATAGAACTCAAGTTCAAGTCTTCTTGAACACTTAACCAACTGAGCTATCTACCCAGCCCTCATTTTTGTTTTTGAGACAGGGCTTTTCTATGTAACCTAGGCAGACCTGGAATTCACTAAGTATGTAGCCCAGGTTGGCTTCAAACTCCCAAAAGTCTTCTTGTCTCTGTTGCCTGAATGCTAGAATTACAGGCATGTGCCACTATACTGAATTACAGTCAGTTTTTAAATGGTTGGGTCTGTAGATTTAAACATAAAACCTGAACCTCCTTTAGTTATAGTTTTTGTCTTTAAAAGTCCCTTTGAGGGGGCTGGAGAGATGCTTCAGAGGTTGAGAGCACTGGCTGCTCTTCCAGAGGTCCTGAGTTCAATTTCCAACAACCACATGGTAACTCACAACCATCTAGGATGAGATATGGTATCCTCTTCTGGGATAAAGGTATACATACAGATGGAGCACTCATTAAGATAAAATAAATAAATCTATAAAAAGTCATAAAAATCATTAATAAAAACTTCCCTTAGAGGGCTGGAAAGATAACTCAGAGGTTAAGAGCACTGGCTGCTCTTCCAAAAATCCTGAGTTCAATTCCCAGCAACCACATGCTGGCTCACAACCATCTATAAAAAGATCTGGTGCCTTCTGGCCTGCAGGCATACATGCAGGCAGAACACTATATATATATATATATATATATATATATATATATAATAAGTAAATAAATCTTAAAAAGAAATAAAAATAATAAAATTCCCTTACAAACTGAAGCACTCAGAAAATAATCCACAAGGGCCCAACTATAACTGGTTTTATAATGACGGGACTTAGGGTACAGCACTATTCCAGTCACTCTTACACCTAGGAGGAACTTAGAAACTGATTGTTTTAGATTAGCAGAGAAATCACAATTCCAAAGACATGAGAAGCAAGAAATATCTAAAATAATAACAACAATAATTTTGCAAAGATTCAAAGTACTAGACAAATAAAGAGAAGTAAACTTACCTAAAATATGTGCAGAGTGAACGGAAAGTGAGTTGCAGAGATTGCTTGTGTTCGTGCTCAGTGACATTCTTCTAGGAAACCAGAAACTGTACATTTAGAAAATCGATTCCATAACACTCTTGAGACCTTAGAGCAGTACAGAACACCACCACCCACTGGACCATCTCATAACATCCAACTAAGTCAATAAGCAGCACTCTCCATGGCTTCTGCATCAGTTCCTGCTTCCAGGTTCCTGCTCTGAGTTCTTGTCCTGACTTCTTTCAAGATGAACAGTGATGTGGAAGTTTAAGCCAAATAAACCCTTTTCTCCCTAAGTTGCTTTGGTCATTGTTTTTCATTATAGCAACAGAAACCCTAACTAAGACAGAAACTGGTACCAGGATCATGGGGTGTTGCTGTGATAGACCTGACCATGTTGTTTTGTGAGGACTGTAGAAGGACTATGAAACTTTGGGCCCAAAAAGCCATTGAGTATTCAGAGCTTGATCAGTTATTCTATGGGAGCTTGGAAGATCAGAGAGAAATGCAGATAATGGAGACCTGGCTAGTGAAGTTCCAGTGGGAAGTCTGAGAATCTATTAGGACCATTGCATATTCTAAATTAAGAATCTGTGGTTCTGATTAGCTGGGGTTGAAGAATCAGCTGTGAGTAACAAGAGACCAGAACCACTAAACTAAAACTGTTGCTTTCCTTGAACAATTGACACTGATCAGTTGGGGTTATGAAATTAGCAGTGATTAAAAGACCAGCATCATTGGGGTGAAATCTTCTAAGAAGTGTTTCCTTAAAGTCAGCACACAGAAACTGTGTTCCAGAGGCAGTCAAGATTGTACCTCACACCGGTAACCAAACTTAGTAATATATAAGAATCACCCAGGTGGTACTGGTTTTGAAGGCATGAAGGAGTCACAGAGAACAACTGAGGCTTCGCACTGTGAGAAGCCAGGAAAGGTTACTGGACAAAGTGCAGCTTCAGAAGTAGCTAACGGCCCAAACTGAAGGGGTCATGGAGAGAAGCTGAGGCTTGGCACCATGAAGAGAGTCTAGGAGAGGCTATCGGTGAAAGTGCAGCTCAGTTGCAGCAAGAGACTTCAGTATCTTAAAGATTCCAGTACTATGGGATGACCATCAATGACAGCAACAGGTGTGGAGCAGAGTCAGCCTGAGCCTGGGAGACAAGCTATGTGCATTGCAGGCGGCAGAGCCAGAGAAGTAATTCAAGTCTTTTAGAGGAGCCCAGAAGACAGTGAGTGAGGAGCAGAATTGAACGTTGAGCTATTTATACACACTTGGAAAGTGGTTTTTGCTTTGTTTTGATGATGACTGTGCTCTGGTTCCTCCCTCTTAAAGTAAGACAGTATTTAACTTATTTTTGTATTTAATTTATTTTACAGGCATCCACAGTTGAGAAACTTTTAATTTTTAAAGACATCTGAACTTTTACAAAGACTGGATTTTAAAAGAGACTGCATATTTTAGAGACTGACTTTTTAAAAACTGTGAGACTTTTAAAATCTGAAAAGTTTCTGTTGTAATGTTGATATTCATGTGTGACCTTGGAGCTGAACAAGAAAGGACATGTTACAGCTTACAGTGACATGTTTATGAGTCAAGTTGACAAGGTCACCAGCCCTTGAACACCTTTCTAGAAAAGGCACTGAGGGAGATTTCAGAGTATTTAAGACATAAGCTTCTGCTAGGCACAGAACATAAGAAGCTAACATTGGGAAGATAAGAGAGGGGCACAAGAAATTGTTACCTGAAGAGAATTGCTTGGCAACATAAAATTAACAGGGCTGTTTAATTCACCAGCGTGGGAAGGGAAAAAGCAACCTGATCCCTTTCTGAAGGAATGAACAGAGACAAGGCTGCTTTGCTCACAGACACACCATTCAAGTTCCTGGGGAACATGCTAAGAACAACCTCAACAACTAATCATTCATTCAGCTACCTGATGAATGCTTCCAGCAAGCAAATGGGGGAGTCTTGGTATAAAAGGTTCCGTTTGGCAGTGCTTTTAACTATAAAAAGCACCTTTTACCATGGTACTGAATCTAAGTAACATCAAGCAAGGCCCTAGGAAGTTAAGAAGAACTAACTGAGGTTCTCTTAAAACTTGGTTATATTTTCTTGAAAATCATCTATTGAGCTAGTTATAAATAAAATAGGTCAGGAATTACTTCAAAATGACACTAGGTAGGTGGGAGAACTGAAGAGTAAGTGAGGTATATCACAGATGAAACAAGGTTAGCCTGAGTGACAAGGACTCACTATATTACTGCTAAACTTTTTCTTGTAATTTTCTTCTAATTGCTTTAACTTCTTCTTGGGAAAGAAAAGATAAGAAGATTTCATTGTAGGCAAGTCATAATGGTGGAAACTCCACTGTAACTAAGAAGAGGACAAGCTGTGAGATCTAGATTGAGGACAGCACATGTCTTTCAAACGCTCACGCAAAGCTCTGCAGATAGTGATGGCATCAGAAAACACTGTCGTGTATTTAGAGAAGATAAAGACTAACTCAGTAATGGAATCCACACTTTTGGTACATAATTACCATCATGGTGAAGAGCTGGTTCCGCCGGGTCTGTCGATCAGGAAAGAAAATGGCAGCCCCATTGAGAAGGGTGTTCCTGACTTCTTGTTTTAGGATCTCCATGGGCACAGAATCTCCATTAGCTCTATCTACCACTAATGAAAAGGAACAATGGGTCAGCTCTATCACATTCCATCTGTCCATTAATTAACCTGCTATAAATGATTACAAATTCATTACTTTCCATGTTGTGCTCTGTATCAAAGCGAGCTATTTCTGTGTATAGGTTAGGCAGTATAAGTAATTTAGCTTTTCTTTACGTGTAACTAAAACAAAGACTATACAAACAAGTTTTTTACGTCTTTGTCTGTTCTCTTGAGACACTCTTAGCAAAGCCTTAAAAGTACTCTTAGATGTGGCATGTGTTTCATCCTCCATCTGTTATTACAATATCTCACTCTCAATCTATTGGCCTAATTCCAGTGTTAAGATTGAGCAGTGTGATAGTGATTACCCTCAATATATTAGAACTGTACCTGAAACTAGCAGGAAGTTGGCTGTAAAAGAACAAACCCTCAATCTAAAACAGTAATCCAAAAGGCATCAAACAAAATGCTCCTGGTATGTTAGGGATATAAATCAGTTGGCAGAGCACTTGCCTAGTTTCATGAGCCTTTGGGTTCATGGGTCCAGGACCACATAAAACAGTGTAGTGGTGCTTGCTTATAATTCTGGTACTCAGGAGCAGAGATAGGAAGATCAGAAATTCAAGGTCATTCTCAAGTGCTTAGTGAGTAGGAGGTCAGCTGGGACACATAAAACCCATTCTCAAGGAAAAAAGAAAGAAAAAAATAGGAGGGAGGGAGGAAGGAAAGCAGGCAGGTTCATAGCCCACAATCTCTTTCTGGCTCACATGGTCACTGGACCCCTCACACTTCTATAGCCAAGTAGTCACAAAGTCACATTCAAGGCACTCCCTAGTCCCTACCATCACATAAGTGTGTATAGAGCTCCTTGGCAGCCTGCATTCCTTCAGGGCACTGTGCTGCAGGTTTCTCCTCCTCAGAGGCAGCTGGTGGGTCACTCTGCAGCACTGAGAAGCAGCTCTGAAGAAGTTGCAGCAGCAGGGTCTGTGCACAGATGCATTCTTCCCTTGGGCTTCAGAAGACAAAGAACATCAGAGAGCAGAAAGGCAGGTTCATTTCACCCTTCAAAGCTATGTAGCTGTCTACAAAGAACTTCCCTCAAGCCATCAGGTTCAATAAAGAAACACCAAGTCAGAGGAAGCTGGGAGGAACACCACCAGACACCTGGAAACAGACCCTGTCTGACTGCACACTGGGGAAGGAAGCATATTTCTGATTTGTTTCTTCACCTGTAAAATGAGGAGACAAATCATGTCCTTTATCTAAAAAGCTGAGATCAGAACATTTGAGCCTCAAACTTTAGATTTTTTTTTCATGATTTTGGAATATTGGCACAAGCATGCATGCATCAGAGAGGGAAAAGGAAAGAAGGGAGGGGAGGAGAGGGGAAGGGAGGAGAGGGGAAGGGAAGAGGGAGAAGAAGGAAGGTGGGGTAGAGGGAGCTCTTTTGGAGTCGGGATGCAAGTTTGAATATGAAATTCATGGAGCTGGAGAGATGGCTTGCTCCACAATCACAAGAATTGACTGACATTCACATTTCAGCTCTTGTGTAACAAGCTAGGCATCCCTGTGAACTCAGTAACCCAGCTAAAAGGTGTGTGTGTGTGTGTGTGTGTGTGTGTGTGTGTGTGCGTGCGTGTTCGGGGAGGAAGTGGGGCACCAGAGACAGGAGGATTTCTAGGGTTTATTGGCTTTCAGCCTAGCTAAAAAAAATGTGATATCCGTGATATCCAATGCCTTCTTCTGGCCCTCACATACACACAGGTCAACATATCCACCATCACGAACATCAACTCATACACACACACACACACACACACACGCTAAATAAATAAACAGATAGAGAGATAAATAAGTGAATGATTTTTTAAGTATGAAATTCATTTGTATACAACTTTTTAAATCATTTTTCTATCTTTTTTTTTTTTGCAGTGCTGCAGATTGAAGCCAGGGCCTTGGCTTAGCACTCTGTCACTAGGACTGAAGTCAGAACTTTGTGCATGTTAAGTTAGCACTATGCTGCTGGGCTATGACTCCCAGCGATACAATAGTTTTAGCTCAGCTGCATTTGATTGTGATTCATAATATGAAGTGAGATATGAAATTTTCTACTTGTGGCATATAAACAGTTTTTCCAATTTTGGGATTTTGGATAAAAGATGCTCAACTTGCATCACGATAATGCCTGACTGTTTATACTAGCAGGACAATCAATAAGGAAATGTTTGAGGAAATGTTTCCTAAACATTTTATAGAAATCTGAGGTGTCATTTTCAACAATCAAATATTTCAAATCAAAAGAATATATACAAAAAAATTTAGATAAAAAAATATTCATTTCAGCTTTTTTTATGATTGTTACTTTAAAACAAATTCTGACCTACTTTTGCTTTAATTTACTGTAAAAATTCCAGAAGATCTGCAAATCAAGACCCGTGAAGTCCAGGAAAGACTTATATTTTAAGCCACTTTCCTTCTGCTGCACCTAAAAAAAATAAAGACCAGAAAAAAAGTAAAATTAAAAAATATATTTAGAGAAATATTGGGATGTCTCATTTACTTGTCATGGTTAAGAAATGAGATAACCCACATGAGTGAAACTCCCACACGACTTAGAAATACACATGTGTGCATACACAGATAACTATGACACTAATGCACACATGGCCACACAGGCTCTCTATCTTCATAATACATACATAAAGGTTTACATGATAATGATGCCCAGGACTGTCCTACAATGTATTTGACTTCCCTACTTGTGGGCTGCACTTCTGTTGTAACCTAGTTATTACTCCTAGGCCTTTCTCTTTTCTCTGCTCTGATAAGAGTTCTTTTTTGTTTTTGTTTGTTTGTTTTTGTTTTTCGAGGCAGGGTTTCTTTGGAGCCTGTCCTCGAACTGGCACTGCAGAGCAGACTGGCCTTGAACTCATGGAAATCTGCCTGCCTCTGCCTCCTGAGTGCTGGGATTAAAGGCAGGCATCTTCATCACCTGGCCTGGTAAGAGTTCTTAGCTGACACAGACCCAGACGCCATATGTGCACAGCTCAACAGCTTCTTGTGCACTGAAGAGAAAGAAAGCTAAGGGTGGACACTGCTGCACACACGAGGGCTCCCCTGAAGTAAGTCAAGCACTCCATGGTAAGTAAGATTCCCTTGAGTAAATTGATAACTGTGATTTACTACTAATTGTAAAAATCAGCACCAAAACCCCAATTATTTCAAACTCAAACCCTGACAGTTAATACATTTAATAAAAGAAATTCACCTCTAGACTTGAGAAGTAATTTTCAGACTTAAAGAACAAATCCGGTGATGCTGCTTTGTTTGCTGCCCCTGCACAAGCACAAGTAGGTACAGAACCATGTGCCTGCAGGTCTACTCCAGGCAACCTCACAAGTGCCACATGCCATGTAGTATTCCACAGACTGGTACCACAGAACCCACTCTGCCCAGCCTTTTTGTATTATCATGAAGTATGAGAGCTATTGCGCTCACTGATATTGCCATCGCTTCAGAGAGGCCAGGTTTTAAAGATGCCTATTTCCCTTAACACTGCCATTCATGTCTCTTGGAGGAATGTTGTACAACAACGGGAAAAAACCCTACCAGGTCTTGGGCGAGTTGCTGTATGAATTGCAGAGTCCTGAGGAGCAGAGTGGCCCCATAGATATTCTCTGTGTCCTTTCTGCAATGGGCATAGAGGATACTTTGTTCAGCTTCTGCCCTTGCAGGCCGGAGGTACCCGCTGATACTCAAGCCTTGTACGCCCAAACGTTCTGCTGACTCCTGGCGTGTGCAGAGGAACTTCACCATCAAGTACTAGAAAGGATAAAAGAGAACTAAGAGAAGGAACTGGAATCCCTAAGTGCAATGAAAGAGGACTAAGAGGCTTTTTTAGGAAAATCCCTTCTTGGTTTTAGTAAGTATTTTTTTATAAAGTGTCACCACATCCAATACTGGGGACACAAATTAAGTTTGGTATCTTCGGCCAACAGAAAAAAGAAACAAGCAGTAACTCAGTCAAGCATAGCTTTCTGAAAGGCAAAAACCAGGTAGAAGTGAGAGAATTAGTCTTGCTAAAAACAGATATTTGATGAAAACAGTCAATGCCCTAGGGAATCACTTCAAGTTCTCAACCAGCATGTGCAGCTCACATGGAAGAAAAGGAATGGCCTTGTCTGTGCAAACAGAGCAAAGGCATTTTGGAAGCTCAGCTTTGGTGCAAACTGCTTCTTAAAGGGAAAATTCCTTTCATAAAGGCCTTGTTGTCCTTTCTTACTTGTAGTTTTATATTTTATTTATTTATTTATTTCATGTGTGTGGGCACATGCATCTCACAGTGTGCTTGTGGAGGTCAGAGGACAAACTAAAGGAGTTGGGATCAAACTCAGGTGTCAGGCTTGGCAGCAAGCACCTTTACCCACTGAGTCATCCCACTGGTAAGAAAGCCTTTCTGAATCTATTACTCAACTGTACAGATATGTACTGAGCACATACTATGTAAGAACTCTGAAGAAAGTTCTGAATTCTCTTACTTACTCTAAGATTTACTCCTAAGAAAAATAAGTAACTTGGAAAGGCAGTTTCTGCTCTCAAAACTGAGGAACAAACCCACTCCTCTTGAACTGGTGCCTGTGGACTGTAGTAGGCCTTTCTGACGCATCTCAGTAAAGCTAAAGATTATGGCCCAATTCTCTTACAGCATGCATCATGATTCCACATCCTCTCTCAAATAAAGTGTTCTCTGATAAACCCCAGGTGGGGTGAAATCTCCCTTTGTCACAGAATAATATTACATCTGCCTCTCCCATGCTCTCTAAGGTTCCCGGGTTGGCTCAGGGATGGTACAATCAGCCGTGTTTGTTGAAGAGAAGAGCAGGTGAATGAGCGAAGAGCAAACTGGCTACTGCTTACTTTGGCAACTCTGCACTGTTGCAACTTGACATCAGCTTCATCCCACTCTTCTTCCAGCTCAAACCAGCCAATGGGATCATCCTCTCCAAGGTCATCAGATGAGCAACCAATCCTGTGAATACAAGTGTAATCATAAACATTTTCTTGGTTTTTTTTTTGAGACCAGGTTTCTCTGTAGCTTCGGAGACTGTCCTGAAAACCTGCTCTGTAGATCTCTGTGGCCTTGAACTCACAGAGATCCCCTTGCCTCTGCCTTCCGCGTGCTGGGAATTGAAGGTGTGCACCACCACTGCCCAACTATAAACATTTTCCTACTTCTAAGTTTCTTCAGAGCCTGATAGATAAGGCCTCATCTAAATGACTTTTAAACCAGGCATTTCCAGTGAGATGCAGGAGTGATGCACCAAAATGGGTACCTCTGAAAATGGAGAGGCAGGAGTGGCTTCCCTTCCCTAAGTCTGGCTAACTTGTGTATGACTGACTAGTCTGAGGTTTGAGCCATGCACAAACAGTTGAAGGGTAAATGCTTCCAATCCTGTAGCTCTCAAAAGGAAAATCTCAGCCTTCATAGGCCCTTGTTAATTAGCAAGTCCTCCAAAGAAAGCATTCCATCCTTAAAGCTAATGGATAATTGCATGCTGCTCTTTAAAAGCCAGATGGGTAAATGCTGCTTCCTCTTAAGCAATTAAGTAACTAACTAATTCTTCTTAAATACCATTCTTTTTTGTTTGTTTGTTTGAGATAGTTTTACTATGTAGCCTTGGCTACCCCAAAACTCACTATGCAGATCAGGCTGGCCTTGAACTAATAGGAGATTTGCCTGCCTCTGCCTCCCAAATGCTGAGATTAAAGGCCACCATGTCTGGCTTCAAGTTCCATTAAAACCTCACACTACTTGGCCTAAGACTCAGCTGGTGCGGGAGAATTATCTGTATTCTGTCAATCATGTTTTAAATAAATGCTGATTGGCCAGGCAGAAGGTGTAGGCAGGAAAACCAGATAGGAAGTGGAAATGATGCAAGGAGAGCAGGAGAATTCTGGGGAGGAGGAAGTTGATTCCTCCCACTCCTGCCCAGATCACCGAAGCAGCAGGATGTGATCTGCCCCACTGAAAAAGGTACTGAGCCACATGGCTAACATAGATCAGAATAATGGGTTAATATAAGTTACAAGAGCTAATAAGTAACCTGACCTAATGGGCCAATCAGCTTTATAACTTATAGAGATCTCTGTGTGATTTTCTTTTGGGGCTAAACAGCTGTGGGGTACCGGGTGGAACAGAAAACAAACAAGCCTGGCCCCTTCATGTTACACTCAGCTATCACACTAACAGCACAGAAGTGTTCTGTATAAACATGACAAGCAACCACAAATAACTGCATGGAAATGTGAAGAAAATATAGAATAAGTTCTGGAACAAAGGAAAAATTTTGCTCTCTTCCTCACATAGGTCTTTCTTGGTAGAAATCTCTTGTGATACAACTGACCACAACAGAACAGGTAGGATCTGCTAAGCTCTAAATGCCAATGAGTCTCATCCATAACACACGTTTGAGGAATTTTAAACGTATTCTTTAAGGGCAAGGGATATAGTTCAGTGGCACAGCATTTGCCTAGAAAATGTGAGAACCTGGTTCCATCCTTGGCTGTATTCCTGTCCCCCTACCACCATGCCTGGCAGAAAGTGTCCTGAAGGAAGTCTGCAATGTAGAAAGCTGACAAAGAGTCAGGGACTATAGAAGCAAGTGTTCACACTAAACCACACTTTACAGCAGCAGGTGCTGACTGGGGAGCAGAGTGCTAGGAGAACACAACAAAACAGGCAAGACATTTTTATTTCCAAATAGAGAGAAACTGATTATATATGTAGGCCAACAAAGTTGGCCTATATTGAAGAATAACTCATGCTAGAACCAGATCAAATCATTAAGGGATTTATGAATAAGTTTGTATTTAGGTTAAAAAAAATCATCCTGTATAAGATTTCTTGTTTGACAGAAAATTTAGAGGAAAAGACCTATTTTAATATCCCAAGAGTGAGAACATGGCTGCTTAAAATTAGGTGGCACCTGTAGCCATTATTAAAAAAGAAATTATGCTAGGTGTGGTGGTAGATAAGCCCAGGACACAGGAAGCTGAGGCAGGAAGACTGCCACAAGTTCCAGGGTAGCCTGGGTTACATAATGAGTTTCAGGCTATCTAGACCAATAAAATTTTGTCTCAAAAAACAAACCAACAGCCAGGCAGTGGTGGCACACACCTTTAATCCCAGACCTTGGAAGACAGAGGCAAGCAGATCTCTGAGTGAGTTTGAAGCCAGTCTGGTCTATAGAACAAGTTCCAGAAAAGCCAGGGCTATTCAGAGAAATTCTGTCTCAAAAAACAAAACCAAACCAAACAAACAAAAAAAACCCAAAAAAACTCCAAAACCAACCAACCAAACAAACCCCCCCAAACCTCCCCCAAAAAACAAAGGAAGACAGGGATAAGAAAGGAAGAGGAAGAGTTTTATATCCTTCCCATAACTACTGAATTAGACCTGTATTTTCACAGGATCCCCTGGTGATTTGTATGCACATTTATGCCTAAGTAGCACATATTGGGCAATGTTTTAGGACTGCTGTTAACCCTGGGAAATATAAGAGTATAGGCAGTAAGTCCAAGGCTCTGATCTACAAGTTCTAACTTTAGCAGCAATAGGAAGGCAACACTATCAGGGGTCACCAAAAGCCTCTGTGACTTCGTCCACATTAAGCCTTCATCTTAACAAGACACCACACCCATTCCCTGATTTCTAAGGGTATAGCCTGGCTTGCCCCCTATTCTTTGAGTTTTTCTGTTGCCTCTTAACTAGTGCTATTCATCAAGGAAACCTATGTCTTCCTAGTCCACAGTCCTCTAGAGCCATCTCTTCTATCTCCATGTCTTCATTTAGTTTGATTTGTTTGAGACAAGGCCTTAACCTGTAGTTTGGGCTGGCCTTAAACTCTCAGAAATCCTACTTCAGCCTCCTGAATGCTGGGATTAAAGGCACAAGGCACCACACCTGGATCCAGTATTTTTAATGGTCATGTCAAAGATTATCGTGCCTGTCCCTACAATACCAGCGACTCTTCTAGGGTGCTGACCTGCTTGTCCTACTGGCTATAACACATCTGAGTCTTCCCAGCAGGACTAACAGTGTGCACACCGACCTTCCCACAAACCTGCTTCTCCCTGGGGCATTTTATTTTAGAGAAAGGCACTACCAAGTTCCCCACCTGACTATGTCCCACACTGTGAACTCAGTGCTGCCTAAGCCTTCTTTTCTCTTCTACTTGCTAGTCAGTCATCCCCAAGCCCTACCACATCAGGCCACCTTGCTCCACTGCTGCTGCTACAAAGGTTGTTATGCTGGTCGAGGCCACTTTTACTTTCTCCCAGCCCCTGCCTCTACCCTTGTCTTCCTCCATCCATGGAGCTGCAGCACATGCCTAACTAGTTCTTCTAGAACATATATGTGACCTCCTTCATCTTCCTCTTATCTCCCCCATCACATGTTCTACCCTCTGCCTAACATGTTCTACCCACA